CCCCCTGTCGGTGAACACACCTACGCGACAGATCATTGGCTCTCCCACCCAAAGAATACACCGACCGCAACAGTATAATTATTACAGAAAGATATATAATATATAAAATTATGCTTTGGGGTATCAACAGATATGATAACAATTCGGCACTACATGCCTCATTCTCGGGTGATATTTGAATGAATTATACAAAGCTAACAACTGCTAACAATTCGGCACTACGTGCCTCATCCTTGATCGATATTCGAGTGCATTATAATAGTTAGCAATTCGGCACTATGTGCCTCATTCTCAGGTGATATTCGAATGAATTATGTGAAGCTAACAATTGTTAACAATTCGGCACTACGTGCCTCATCATCGGATGCTTTGGTGGGATACCAAATAGGGATAACAATTCGGCACTGCGTGCCTCATCCTCGGGTAATATAATAGATAACAATTCGGCACTATGTGCCTCATCATCAGATGCTTTGGTGTATTACCAGATATGTATGTTAACGGTTCAGCACTACGTGCCTCATCCTCGATCGATATTTGAGTGCAACATACAAAACCAGGATACGAATACTACTTCAACACTACGTGCCTCAAACCTGGCCCTCATCGAGGAATTAACCAGAAAGCTAGGCACTACGTGCCCAGTTCGGGCATAGCCCTCACAAATGACGATGTATAATTGGATATATCGTCAGATATATATTTTTTTGCCCATGTGGCCCAGCAACAGAAATCGGCCAAGCCGGCATACATTATATTGCATGTGATCTGACGACATAAATCAGCCACAATCGTCATATTTTTATAGGTCGTGGGAAACTACTATCGCGAGGGACTTTTATTCGTCGTGGGAAACTACTATCGCGAGGGACTTGTCGTGGAAAAACTAAGCGAGCACCTTGTTGTGAATAAAAGTCCCTCGCGATAGTAGTGGAAAAAACAAATAAAAAGTCCCTCGCGATAGTAGTGGAAAAAACATAAGTATGTTATTTCCACTTAGTCTAGGTTATGTATGTGTCGTGATCCAATTTTTATGACACAGACTGAGGTGTCATAATCCAAATTTTATGACACGGACCTGAGACGTTTATAGTCTACGCATCGGGCGCTATATAGATTACATTTGTATCGCCGATTGTGAACCGCTGAGACATGCGCCACTATGGCGTGCGTTTTGCATTTTAGGTCACGCTCGAGTGACGTGAATTTTGCTTTTTACGACACGCACCAAGGTGGCATATTTTGTATATCAAGCCACATATATAATGTATGCCAGCTTAGTATTAGTAATCGTGGCCGGTTGGCTCACATAGGCAAATATATATATATATATATATATATATATATATATATATATATATATCTGACGATGCAACCAATTATATATCGTCATTGTGAGGGCTAATGCTATCAGGTATGCTATCAAACATGTATGCGCAATTGCTATCGATACATACATCGTAAATGTTATCGGGGAATGCCATCAATATACAGCCCCCTCCAATAAATGACCGGGTAACACGAAGTTTTAATAGTAAAACATATAAAAAGTCTTTCTTTTCAAAAATCTCGCCTGCTCTTGTGTACCATGCGAAGTGCAATAATTTTTGTATGGTTCTGAAGCTAATTGATTATGCTTTTCGAAAATAATAAC